CTCAGAAGTCGGGCCGTCTCCACCGAATCGGCAAAGTACCCTCCCGTAGAACGGTCCACTCTGGGTCGATAACAGGATCGGCTCTTGAAGCAACGAACCCTCGCCCCAAATGCTTCTTAGAGATAGAGGATGTATCCACAGCAATAAGCTTTCAATATTTTTCATTTCTCCTAAGTCCAGGGTAACTTTGATAAAAAAAAATCAGAAGAGATAAAGAATCAGAATCATTTGGACAAGTACAGGTAGATAAGGTCATTCGGGATAGAAAGCATCAATCCTTGGGAAAAGTGAAGTCCAATTGACCTCATCTTCATTATACTCATAAATCTATTTTTTCAGAACACCCATTGAGATTATTCATTTCAAAACATAAGTGTTTTTAACATGCAGGCACGTAAAACATGGAAAGAGGACAATCCGTTTCTTCAACTCAAATAGGCATAATCAATCTTCTTTGTAGGCACCCTTCTACCTACTTGCACGACATGCAAAGAAAACAAATTTGAAAGAAAACAACACAATTTCATACTCAAGTCAGACCTTTCCATTCACATACATGACTCGCACAACTCTCCTCTACCTTTTCTTTTGAACATTCAAAATGAACAGGGTCAAGCAAAGTGCGGGTTCACACAAGTGTGAAAGAAAGTCTTAGTCATTCAACTGACCTTGAGTGAAGTTTAGTCCGGCTCACTCAAGAAGCCGGGATAATACTTCCAAAAAGATCGGCTGCACAACTCACAAGTTGTAGTCGTCTACTAAAGATGGTCCGGGAGTCTTGCTGCTGCTGGGGTTTGAACCCAGGTGGCTGCCGGGTCATGCGCGTGCGCGAGCACCTTGCTAACACACTCGCCACAGAGTGTACATGGCATTGTAGCACGGCACACTCGTGTTAAAGAGGTGCCGCGCTGGTTATTTACCCCCCCGCCGGCGAGCACTGAGCAGCGAGCAGCAGATCAGCAACGGCCGGGCTTCTATTTGGCCCCCCCCCCCCGTTGGCTGCTGTTGGGTGGGTACGTGGCCATCTGCCCTGCCACGTGGCAGCTGGTGCTGGAACATAAGACCCCCCTGCTTAGGGGGCTGCTCTACAGTGGTGAGGGTCTGCTCACACAGCAGACCCTAGATCTGCACATCTGCAGAACAGTTGCTGCTAGGGGCTGATCAAGATCTCAGCCCCCTTTCCCCTACAGCTGGCTTGCTGCAGTGAAGGCCAAGACCCTCCTGGTCTAGGTGTACCTTGTGCCCTTGGAGACACCAMGGGCCAGGTATCACTCCCTTCTTCCCCCCTTCCTCTACTAACCCACTCTTCCTACCTCTCCTCTCTCCTCTTACTCACCCCTTCTCTTCTCCCCACCTTCCACTGCATCTTTTCTCTCCTTCTTTTATCTTCCCCACCCCACCTTTCTCCCAACACCCATTCTTTTACTCTCCTTTCTTTATTTCTTTTTTTTTCTTCCTCCTTCTTTTCTCTTTGCCTCTTGATCCCTGTCCACCTTTCCCCATCCCTCCTCTCCCCCAACTGGCAACTACCACCACACCATCCCCCCCTACCTCCCACTTCATCTTTTTCTCTCCCCCCACCTATTCTTTCTTTTCTCCCTCTCTTTTCATTCCCCTTTCCCCCTACTTCGAAAATTTTTCTGTTTTTTTTTCTTTTCTTTCCACCTCTGTTTTGATTTATCTTTTCTCTTTTCCAAAAATTCGAAATCTCTTCTTTTCCACCCTCTTTTCAAATTTTCTGATTCATTTCATTTATTTTTCTATTTATTCTGAAAATTCGATTTTCTCTACAGCAACCCTAAATCTGATTAGTTGTTAGTTTTCTCATCTTCTTCCCCACCCTCTTTTCTTATTTTTTGATTTATTTTTTTTATTTTTATTTATTCTGAAAATTCGAATTTCTTAGCGGCAACCCTAAATCTGATCAGGTGTTAGCCTTTCTTGCTTTCGGTACACGTTTTGACCCCGTGGGGGTAACGAAGTGCTGCCGAAATTTTTTGATTTTCTCTTACTCAGTCTTTTCGGTACACTTCGACCCCAAGGGGGTAACGAAATGCTGCCAAAATTTTTGGAAAAAAAAAAAGAAATCAGATAACCCATTTCTCCCGACCTCCTCACACACTTATTTACTTATTTATTATTTTTTATTTATTTTCTGAAATTTCTTTTTTATTATTTGCGGCATCTCTAGTGTGCTCACCTCGGTCTATCCTTTTCCCTTGGCACATTCCTGATCCCGTGGGGGGTAGGGAACTGCTGCCGAAAAAAATTCAAAAAAATAAATATTGTTTCCCTTCACATCTCTTTACTTATTTCTTTAATTATTTTTATTATTTATTTATTTTCTTATTTATTTTTATTTTCTCTCGAAATCTCGCTGTTTATTTATTTTTCTCCCGTCTCCCCCCCCCTATGCTTGCTATTTTAGGTTCTTGATTAGGTCACCGGTACCCTACCCTAGCCACTTAAACCTCAGTTAGGGTTTTCTTAGGGTTTTTGTAGGGTTTAGGGTTCCTCAAAACCCCCTACTTCCCCGTCCTCTTCGGGCACCCAGGACCCGAAGCAACCCTCCCCCTTTGACGGCACCTGTGCTAGCCTTGCTAGCGCCGTTCGCCGCTTTCTACCGCGGACTTCCCCCTACGCCCTCCGCTCACGCCGACCTCTTCTGGCCCCCTCCAGTCCGGTCCGTCATCTCCCCATGGCCGACGGTGCGTCACACGCCGCCGACACGGCGATGACCACGGCATCGGGCTCCACACCCGTGCCAGCGGACCAGGGCCATCAGCCCCAGGGGGATCTACACACCCTCCTCACCTCCCTCCTTGGGCCCATCCAAGCGCAACTCGCGACCCTTGCGGCCATCCAGGCGCAACTCGCGACCCTCGCGCCCTTACAGGCGCAGGTGGCCACCCTTGCCGCCGGCATGCAGCAACTTCAGGACGCTGCGTGTCCGTCATCTCCTGGCTCCCAGTCCGGGTCCCCCGTCCTCCAACAGGGTTGCCACGACGGAGCTTCCTCCTCCGTTACCCCTGACCCGGCCATCTTGGTGACTGTCCACGCCCCTAGCACGACGGCCACCACGAGACAGGCCCGTCCTCAGTCTATGGGCGCACCCGCCCAGATCCCGGTCACTACGGCCACGGTACAACAACCCGCTACCATGGTCTCAGCTTTTTCGGCTGCCCCGCTTCTCCCTCCCCTTCGCACGACCGCAGCGCCACCTGGCTCTCCCCCCTCTAGGATGCCCCGCGCCGCTTGTGCGTCCACCCCCTCCACTCTTCCTCCTGCCACCCCTCGATCGACCTACGTTTGAGGTCTCGCGGACGAGATTGCCCAGCTCCGGGCCGACCTCGCCCTCTTACGCCTTCAGCCACCCCCACCCTCACAGGTGGCCGCGCCTTCGGGCGCACCCCCTACCTCCTCTACCCTTCCTCCCATGCAGGCTCGCTTTCCACACCCTGCACCCTATACAACTCCTTCCTACCTTCTTCCTACTCCCGCGGTTGCTGCGACCTCTTCTACCGCAGCACCCTTGCAGCATGCCGCTGTTGCCACCGCCGCTCCCCCATGCGGCCCGGGCGCACAGTCAGCTGCGCCCCTTTCTCCAGGACCTGCGCCGACTTACTCAGCCATGGCACAGGCCTCCGCTCCTCGATCCCCTCACCGCCAAAACGGTGGCGCACCACTCATCCACTTGTCGGACATTGCCTTGTATGACGGTACAGGCATACGAGTGTCTCGGTGGCTGCAGTCTGCCACCCGCACACTCCAGCTCTTGGGCGCCACACCCGAGACGTGGGTGGGTCACCTCTCCATGCGCCTGCGTGGCGGTCCTTTCGAGGCCTGGAAGAATTTATATGCCTACTCCCTTCGTGAGAGTCGGACTCCGACCTTCGTGGATTTCCAGACGTTCCTCGAGGATCGGTTCGGAGCCCGATACGACGTGACTGACGCCTTCGAGCGTGTCGTCACTACACGCTGGTCCGACTCTGGTGGCGCTGCCGGCCTGGATCGCCACATCCAGGTCTTTCAGGACGCCCGCCTTGTTGGCGACGTGGCATTCCTCCCCGAGGCTGCCCTTATCGATCGTTTCTTGGCCAGCCTTCCGCTCGAGTACCGCTCCGAGCTATGGCGGTACGAGTTCACATCGGCCCCACAGGCTTACGTGGCCGCCAGGGACCACCAGCGGATGCGAGCCCGTCTTCACCCCGCCTCCTCCTCCTAGCCCCAGCGCACGGGCTACGCATCCTCCTCCTCTCACGGCACTTCCCAGCGCCGTTCCCCTTTCCGCGGTCGCCCCCGCCGTTCCACGCAGCAGGGTCGTCACTTCTCGTGCCGCCTCAGCGCGCTGGAGTATGGTGAGCAGGACGTTGTTGCCCCACTGTCACCTTAGGGCGACCACAGCGACGACCTCGATCTCCGCGAGGCTGTCCACTATCACTTGGAGGACTCGACCCTCCCTGCAGCTGAGCGCCTTCAGCTCGCGCTCTCTGCCCTCTCTCGGGCACGCAGCCGCCCCGGTCACGCAGGCACGTCGCCCCCCAAGGTCCCTCAGGAGGACCTCCCTTAGGGCTTCGTCCCTCCTCGTGGTGTCCTTTCCGCTGAGGAGCGCGCGACTATTCAAGGCCGACGTGGGTGTTTGCGCTGCCGCTTGGACAGTCATACCTCCTCGCGGTGCCCTTACACTACCGCTCTCGACCGCCACTACGCTGACCTTTCTCGTCAGCGTCGTGCTCAGTCCCCCCCCGGCGCCTCACGTCCCCGCGGCACCTCCTAGCCACGGTGCAGTGTACACCTACGCCCTCCTCAGTAGTGGGCTTCCCGACATCTCCGTCACGGTTCGCCCCTCTCGCTACTGGAGTTGAGGTATCGCAGGACTCAACAGAGTGTACTCAGCCCTCTGTCGCAGTACCGTATGCGCCTCCACAGACCACCGTCTCCCCTCCTTCCCCGCCGCGACTACCGACGCGTCAAGCCATTCGCTCAGCCCGTTGCAGTGAGCAGCTTGCTACTCGTGAGGACGTTGTGTCCTCTCTCCTGGACTTGAGCATGCTCCAGGCTCGTAAGGAGCGACTCACCCTCCATGTCGCTGCACTGCATCGTCTTCTCGCCATCCTCTCTGATCCTGATCGCACCCTCCCGATCATCCCAGTACGACTCGGGACCTCCACGAGGATGTACTCAGCGCTGTGGGATTTCGGTTCTCAGGGCGACTTCATTCACCCACGCGTGGTGAAGGAAGCCCGCTTACCCACGACAGGGTCTCCGAATCCCATCTCCGTTACCCTAGGGGATGACAAGACCCAGCGCTTCTTCGATCAGACGGTCACCGAGCTCCCCTTCTTTCTCACTCTCGAGCCGACTGATCGTTCCCCGGCGTCTCGTTGCCACCGCTCCTCTGCACATTTCGATGTGATGGAGACGGGGTATGACTTCATTCTCGGCACTCGGTGGTCTCGTCGGTTCCGCAGCACCGAGGCCGATTGGGCGACCAACACACTCGTTCTCAAAACGAAGTGTGGACAGACGTATCGCGTACCTTTCATAGGTACCACAGCGACACCACGCCCCGATCCTTCTCCCCCGGAGGCTTCAGTGCCCACACCATCTCTCTCTATCACTGTCACCTCGACTCGGCAGTTCGCTCACTTCATTCGACAGGACGACGTCACCTTCTTTATGGTGGACGTGACGGATCTCGTACACTATGATCCACCATGTCCCGACGCCGAGCTCATCCCTCTGGAGCCAGATCCTCCCTCTATCTCCATGACTCCTATCTCTACTTCCGTCCCTCCGCCGTCCGTCGAGTCCACCCCGCCGTCACGCGCTGACGCTGACGCTGAGGAACTCGCACGGTATACGGCTGACCTGGAGCCCGCAGTTCGTGACCTCATCCGAGAGTACCACGACGTTTTCCCATCGTCATTCTCGTACGTCGGCATCCCACCGATGCGTGACGTCGAGCACTCCATTCAGCTTGTGCCTGACTATCTTGTTCACCACCAGGCACCATACAGACTCTCGATCCCCGAGGCCACCGAACTCAAGCGTCAGCTTGAGGAGCTCCTGAGACTGGGTTTCATTAAACCCAGCAACTCCCCGTGGGGTGCACCCGTCCTCTTTGCTCGCAAAGCGGATGGAACTCTCCGTCTTTGCATCGACTATCGCAGTCTCAACCGCTACACGGTTAAGAACAGCTACCCCATGCCTCGTTCCGATGACCTGTTCAATCGCCTAGCAGGCAACCGCTTCTTTACGAAGATTGATCTTCGTAGCAGTTACCATCAGATCCGCGTCGCTGCAGCCGACCAGCCGAAGACCGCGTTCCGATCGCGATTCGGCCACTACGAGTTCACGGTGATGCCATTCGGCCTCACCAATGCACCCACTACCTTTCATAGGGCGATGAACGACATCTTCAGGGACATCCTAGAGCAGTACGTTCTCGTCTACCTCGACGATATCCTGGTCTACAGTCGTACCCTTGAGGAGCACCTCAGACACCTCCGCGACGTCCTTGACCGCTTGCTCAGACATGGCTTCTACGCCAAGCTGAGCAAGTGCCGCTTTGCCCAGCACAAAGTGGATTTCTTACGACACTACGTGTCTGACCAGTGTCTCCACATGGACGACGCGAAGATCACTGCTATTGCGGAGTGGCCCACCCCCACATCCGCCAAGCAGCTTCGCAGCTTCCTAGGCCTGACCAGCTACTATAGTAACTTCATCCGGGGATACGCTAGGTATTCCTACGTCCTTACCTCCACCCTCCTCCAGAAGAACCCACCCTGGGCTTGGACACCCGTCCACGAGGACGCCTTCCGCGCCCTCAAGAAGGCGGTGACATGCGCACCAGTTCTTCACCTACCCGATTTTGATCGCCCTTTTATCCTTACCACCGCGCCCTCAAGAAGGCGGTGACAGTGCTTTCTCAGGTCTTCCCCTCCTCTACTGATTCCTCTCATCCTCGTATCCCTCGCTTCCCACCACCTACCCCTACCACTGCTTCCCGACTGACGCCTACTCGTCCAGCTACTAACGAGCCTTCTATTGACTATTCTCCTACCATCGTCGAGGACGACACTGTCGAGTTTCGCTCAGGTGATTTTCCGATAGCCTTCTACTCCCGTCAGGTCCTGCCCGCCGAGATAAACTACACTGCTGATGAACGTGAGGTTCTCGCAGTAGTTTATGCCGCTCGACACTGGCGGCACTACCTGCACGGCGCACCATTCACGGTGCGCACGGACAACTCTGTTGTCTAGGTTTTTCAAACTAAGCCGAAGCTCACTCCTCGACAGGCTCGCTGGTGGCGCGACCTATCCGAGTTTAGTTTCACCACTGAGCTCATCAAGGGTGAGACTAATCGGGTCGCAGATGCCCTATTCCGGTGCCCTGACCACGACCAGGAGCAGATCCAGCTGTCTTCCATCTCGGTCACCACCGTCCACCACTGGTGATCGACGAGTTTCTCACTCAGTACCGCCACTGCCCCGACTATCGCGACATCCACGCGACCCTTCGGAGTGGCAAGACCGTCCCGAACTACTCTCTCGGGGACAACGGTCTTGTGTACTGGCATGGTTCACAGGACACCACAGAGCCCCGTATTTGCGTTCCCTCCACTGGACAGCTACGTGTCCGAGCAGTAGCAGAGTTCCATGACCAGGCAGCTGCCGGTCATATGGGCTTCCACAAGACGTTGGC